GACCCGAAGCCAATTCCCGCCGCACGAACATTGGATCGGGGAGGCGGGTGGGGCTGGAGCAGCAGCAGCGAAGGCCTCTGTCGAGCGCTGCCCTTCTGCTTGAAAAGCGCCTTGAAGCTCCCTCTTCGCGTGGACGTAGTAGCCGCTCGGGTCTGAATGCACCGTCTCGGGGGGGGGGGGGGGGCGCCTGCCAAGGGGACCTTAAGGCAAGCGGTGGCACGCTGAATAACTCACTGGTCTTTTAGGTCCCGTTGAGTTCGGACAACCCGCTAAACCCGAGTTACAAAAAAGTAGGTGCTCTGTTCGCATAATACGTTATGCTGAACCAAATCATATTATCAGATGGCTTGGCTCACACAGCATGCTGTGTTATTATTGGTTCCCCGCGAGATGCTTAACCAAAATTACCCAAACTCAGTTTAGCCTACTGAACTCAGGCTATCCAGTCTGTGCGTATCACTATCGATTGCATTCAGATCCTGCCTTTTCTCTGAGACTCAGGTGGAGGTGGGAAGTCTTGCTAATTTTATTCCCCTACCAGCCAGCCTCTGTGGTAGCTTGGGCTGGGAAGTTGGCTGAAGTCAGGGAATTTTGTGGACAAATTACTATTTCTCATCTTTTAAAACTAAGAAGTTCTATCTGCGGTCCTGGAAATAATGCAGGATGTTAAAACCAAAGAGTTTTCCTGAAAAGCTCCTTCAGAATAGTGTCTGCTGTTCTGTGTCTGTACCTTAATGGTTTAATCTGACAAATCAGTGGGCCACCATAACACCACTTTAACCTTTTGATGCCTTCAGGTCAGTGTTAACTCCTGGTGGCTGCCTGGACACGTCCTTGCAGTTTTCTTGGCACAATTTCAGAAGTGGTTTGCCATTTGCGTGGCTAAAAATTGGATTTTTTTAAAAAAAGAAGCAGATTTCTTCTAAATCTTCTTAGATTTCATTCAGCATTTCTGTGTGGTTTAGTGCTCTAACTACTGCACCAAGTCTTCTCTAAGATACTTACCTTTCAGTCTCTTACAGTTTTTAGCTTCTCTGAGATATGCTTTTAGAAATGCTAATCCAAATATCATGGGACCTCCTTTTAGTTTCCCAGCCAGAAATAATGTGAGCAGTCATATTATACACATTATGAATTGGTTTTCCACTGGGAAATGCCATTTGAATCAACCAATTGTACCAACTGTATAGAGCCAAGACAATCAAAATGATCACAGTGAACATCACTGTACAATATTTGTTTATGAAACAAAGACGTAGCCAACCTTGGGTGATTTCAGAAAGCGGTATTGGACTTGGATGGGAGAACTAGGAAAATTTAGCAATCTTAACTAAACTGGGAGGTTGAAAAGGCCTCTTCCACGTTGGTCCCAGGAAACAATATGGCTGTGTTCATGAAACATACATCTTTATAGGACAAAAGTTTCCAGTTCCGGCATTTGCTCCCCATTCTAATGTCAAATGTGCCTGCAGAAATGACGCTTTCAAAATCAGTAAGAAACGTTTTAGAATACTCAGATACTGACACAACTAATGGACAGTAGTTATAAACTATTATGTCATAATAAATGTTTGATCCTTTAAAATACCAATATGACAGTATACAATATAACTATGAAACTATACTGAGGTATAAAAATATTAATACCAAATTAATTCCAGGATCCCAGAGGATCCTCCCCATGGCTTTCAGAGGAACTCAGGGAGATGAAGTGAAAAAAGATACCTAACGCACCTCGGGAGAAAGATAAAGAGCAAATCTGGCCAAACATGGGTTAAGAAACTTTATTAAGGATTATACCATGGGAATAAGAGAGGCAAAACAGGTATTTTTCCACTATTTGCATCCATGAATTGCTGTCTGGCAACCCTGTTTAAAGTAGCCCATTCCCTCCTAGGGAGGGATGGGTCAGAAGATGATTTGATCTTTGAAAGGACTTTTTGAGGCACCTATTGGATAAAATTGTTTGGATTTACTCTGAGTTGAACTCTGCCCATGCAGGTCCTGTTCAGCTGGCTGAGGCATGGTCTGGTGTAATTATCTGGGATGAGTTTTAGCCTGTTTGTCTTGAGGAATGGACAGAGTCCTCGGGACTACGAGTGTGGCCACTTGTACATTAGATCCATGTCCTTCCTGGGTTGCTCAAGGGCTCCCAGTCATTGGTGAATTTATCCTTGAGTGAGGGAGTGGTCTACTCCTCCTCAGGAAGCCATTTTGGAGCCATTTCCAACCTTCTGTTCTTGGGCAAGGTTGTGGAGAAGTTGGCTGGGCTGCAGCTTCAGAGGGCTCTAGATCCAGGATTATCTGGATCTCTTTCAGTTGAGTTTCAGGCCTGGGCACAGTACCAAGACAACATTGATTACACCTGTGGTGGGACCAGGGTGGAGGTACATCCATCCTGGCCCTCTTTGATTTCTTGGTGGCCTTTGATACCATCAGTCATGGTATCCTTCTGGACCTGCTTGGTGCTGCGAGTGGGAGGCATGATGTGGTTCCTTTTCTCCAGGGTTGGTTCCAGATGGTATTCATGGGATGGGGGGAGAGGAGGGGTTCAGCCCTTGACCCTTGCTTTGTGGGTACCCCAGGGCTTGATTCTGTCTGTGCCTGTTTAACATTTACATGACACCACTGGATGAGGTCATTGGTCAGCATAGGGTTAGGTATCATCAGATGTACCCAGCTTGTCTCAATGACTGGAGGGGTGTGGATCAGGAGGAACAGACTGAGAATCAAGGTTAGCAAGACTGAATAACTGGATTTTGAGGCCTCTTGGATCCAGGGATTTTTCCATCTTTGGTTCTGGATGTAGTTGCACTCCCCCTAACAGACTTAGTATAGAATTTGAGAGTACTCCTAGACTCACAGTTCCTCCTTGAAGGGTAGGTGAGAGTCATGGCTTGGAGGACCTTCACCCAAATCCATCTTGTGCATCAGTTACTCCAATTCCTGGATCAGGAGGCCCTACTCACAGTCCCTCATGCTTTGGTTCCCTCATCTGGATCACTAAAGTGTGTTTATTGAAGACCACTTTGAAACTATAGCTTCCAGAACACAGCAGCATGAGTAGCTATGGGAGCACCTTGGTACACCCACATAACACTGCTATCATAGCACAGGTCCTGGTTATTTACAGGACCACCTATTTCCAATTACCTCTGCCTGTTGAATAAAAACTGATATGCTTGGCATGCTCAAGAGTCCTGTCATTTAAGCAGTGACATCTGGTGGGACCTAGGGGACATGCGTTCTCTGTTATTGCACCTGCTCTATGGAATCCATTCCTCCTAAGATCCAGATGGCCCCAACATTGTCTTTTGTAAGGCTTTGAAGACCTGCTTATTGCCCCAGGCATTGGGTGAGGAGGTCTTATGAACCTGTCTGGATTGTTTTTGGTTGCTGAATTGCCTCTGGCAAAATTTGCTTTAGGTCTGGTTTTATATTTTTGTAGTGTTGTTTTAATTGTGTACACCATTTTGAGTTGCCTGTCAAGTGGGCAGCTATAAAAATTGACTAAATTCACAGCACCAACAGTTTTGGTTCTTTTTCCATTGCCATAACCAGTGACCCCAGAGGTAGATGATATTTGGATGTTCCACCATAGGTTCAGTGTTTGATTTAGCAAGTCCCTTGGAAGAAACGCAGAAAGAACATGTATGATGGTGCTGTATCCGGATCAAAGCCACAGGTGGGCTGCAGAGTTTCCAAAGTACCCATGTCTCTTAATCAGGAGTTTCTATCTGGATCCCCCATTTCATACACTAGGTTTTTCCTACTCCCTCGGATTTCTGACTAAGCAAATTTGGGACTTGGACAATGTTGTCCAACTATTCCGGACCAGAAATCATACACTTTCATGGGACCCATAAATGCTGCAGGCAGTGGAGCAGATGTTAAAACCCTCTGCTTTGAAAAATCTCACCTTGCCTTCTCTAGTTTCAGCATTTATAGCTCACTCTTCTGTGCCCAAAATGGGGCTTTGGATGAGTTCTTTGTTTGGAAAAAGGGATTGGTCCAATCCATGCAAAGCATTTTTTTCAGGGAATAATAGCCAAGACCTGAAAATTGAGTTCTTTTATACACACACACACACACACACACACACACACACGCTAATCTTGCTGCAAAGTATACAGTGCTGGACAGAACTCAGTAGGGAAAGATCACACCTTTACACCATGGTTCTCAGATTGTAACCGCATCTGGTTTACAATTCTTATAATAACAGAGTTGTTGAAAAAGACTGAAAGGCAGTTAATTCAATAGGACAGATATAATTCTCAGCTTTCCTAATACATGGAAAGGAATACAAAGATAAAGTTGCAAGGTCCCAAACATAAAGTGATGACAAAGATCTGAAAACACCTCTATCAACTACTAAGCACTAATGCCTGCTATGCTCAACTGGGAATTTCGTTTAAAGTCATTTTACTTCCCATTCTTTGTTTTCTATTTATTACAGAACAGGGTTGATCTAACTATTCCAATTTCGTCTACCAAGACGCTTAGAGCTGTACCTGATCTTTGTTTGATGCCTTTCCTAGTTGCCTCCATTCAACGAGGCAAGGCAAGTGGGCAGGAAATAGGGATCTTTTCCATGGTGGCATCCCAGTTTGTGGGAACTCCCTCCCCAGAGTCTTGTTAGATGCCTACACTATAGTATTTTTAGCACTTGGTGAAGAACTTTTTATTTTCTTCAGCACTTTAAGAACCAGTTTGGTGTTTTAGGATTTTAATGCTTTGTTGCTATTCTGTGATTTCTCCTGCATTAACCATAATTACTTTTGCTATTCCTAATGTTTATGTTGTGCAGTTCTGCTGATTTTAATACAGCGTTTAATCTATATTTATTTTTATAATAATTTAACTTACTGTATAATATGCAGAAAATTCCTGTCATGGCACAATGTTTTATTTTTCCAACTGAGAAAGCTGGCATAAGATTTCCTTTCAAAAGCCTGACCTAAATCTCCTCCAAGGAAATCCATTTGCATCTCACCTATAAAGAACAGACCATAACATGAGCAAACAGAACGAACCCACTCACACTCAGTAAATAAAACACTTCAGGTTTCCATTTTGTCAGTAGGATTGATGATAATAAACTTTATTTTTGCAAAGCAATATCCACATCTTACAAACACAAAAAATTAACCTAGGAGAAAAACTGCATTAACAAATCACTGACCACCAGGCTCAGAGACAAATTACCTGCCATTTTAATTCTACATCTCCTGCTGAGAAAACTGCAGGCTGCAGTGGGAGGCTGGGGGAGGAAACTAAAGTCGGGAACCTTCATATACTGCCAGAGACTAACAGAAATGGCAGATTCTAAAAGAAAACACAGAATCAAACTGATTCAAGTAATAAGCGAACATGAAAAAAGAAAAAAGGCAAGATCAATATGATCCGAACAACCACTGTGGTATTCCGTTTGTACCCTCTCGCCTGGATGTTTTTCACCAATACCCCATAATCCATTGTAGCCCTCCATTGCCTGGGAATCACTCCTGAATCTTCAGTAATTCTTATCTAGAATGGACCATAAAAGCAAAAAGTAAAAATACAGCACTTTTCCCCCCCAATTCCACAATCTACTTCCCAAGCTAGCACATTTAAAACCACTGGGGGAGAATTCTATTCAAAGACACAATGCTATCTTTCTTCATTTCAGCCCACTCACTGTTCAACACGAGAATGTGGACATCTCCCCCATCTTGGAAATATTTCAAGATACCAAGCAAATAAATCAACTTATTAAGGAATCCCTTTGAATAAAAACAAGCAACATATTATTTGATGGAGACACTTAAAAAGGACATCTACTGTGAGAATCATCATAGCAGAAAGTGCAAACAATTGCCAATGCAGAAAGATGCTGGTACCAAAGAAGAAAATGGAAAAGTCATTAAGGCAATTAGCAGTGTTTTCAAAGTAATGGTAAAGTAGTCTACATTCCTTGAGAGAAGCTGGCCAAAATTATGAAAGCCAGGAAGTCATGAGAGGGGCTGAAAAGGAAAGAGCTGCCAGGAGCAAAACTCTGCAATGTCCAGAGCTGAACAGAGTTCATCTGTTCTTCACAGCTCCGGACAGTTTGTCATCTCTCTTCACAAACTCTCTTCACAAATCTGCAGAGAAGTGCTTCAGGATGCACCAAGGCAATAGTCTGCCCTATCCAGAGATGGTCTGCCCTTTTCTGTCACTAGAACCTCCCAAAGCCAAACTGAAGTTTCAAAGAGCAACAGCTAATCTACACATGTAGATAGAGGAGTTTCATTTCCAAATGCTTTACTGCATTCAAATGGTGCAAATATCCGGACATCCAAATACCTGTGTTCTATAACCTGGAAGATTCTAGCAAAGGCAAAACATACCAGTCTTTGACATACCCCAACTGTGTCAAACAATGCAATCCAAATAATTCATTTGCATATGCAAATTGACATAAAAGGTTTCTCTGCAGGCAACAGCTCCAACTTGGGAGCTAGCATGAACAATGGACAATTGGCTTATTCTGACGTAAAAAATTTAGTACTGCTTCAAAAGAAAGGGAATGTGAACTGGAACACTGCCCCTCTTGCTTTTTCCAATCTAAAATTACAAGCACATGACCTTTCTTAACAAGTATTAAAATGTGATTGAATGCTGGTGGTTGTTGTGTGTGTGTGTGTTTTAAAAAAACTAATCTAGAAAAGTTGGGAACTTTTTGCAAGCAGGGTGCAAATGGGAAGGAGAAAGCAATCTCTCTCTCTCTCTCTCTCTCACACACACACGCACACACACACACACACACACACACTCTCCAATAGAGCACATCACTGACTTTGGAACTGTACTGTCATAGCAGAGATGTGCACTGCCTGGAACACTGGACAGACCACTGGGGGAAATAAGGTGCTTTGTCTGAGACCCTCGCAAAGGCATCTACACTGCCCCAGTGCAGCAAGACATGCCTCTCCAATCCTTCTGATGCAGAGTCACACAGACACAAAACATTCCAACAAAAACAGAAAAGGGTTCCCAATAATCTTAGCTGCATTGGCATAATCTGTTCCAAGTATACTCTTTATATAAATAACCATTACAGGCACTTTAAATGTCTTTGGTTGGAATAATCCAACATCTCATGATAACAAATTCGTAACCAATCAGGACCCAGTTCTGGGTTCAGCAGACAGTGATTGCAGACTTGGTCACTTTTGGAGGAAGGAGGCAATGGATCATGCTTCTGAGAAAGCAACCTGGGGGGTGGGGAGGAGAGAAAAAAGGAGACCATACGGTTAGATTTCAGCTATCAGTTGTATAAGTCATTATAAATCACTGTGTGATCTTAAATGGGAAAATAATGAGACAGATGACATATGGGACTCCTTGGATGGAACCTAACATATGGATTGCTATAAAGTAACTCAGATCCTGACTTGTTAAACTCCGTAACTGTCTCTCCTGTCATCAGATAACATGGTCCCCTTGGACAGATACACCCATATACATATACATACTCATACACACGTACACCCCCCATGACATATCCTATTAGGTTCATGAAGTGCCCTGTTGAAAGCTGTGGTTTAATTTTATATTTAGATTCACTCCTTTCAGGCAACCAGAAGTGCTTAAAAGAATTAACTCCGTGTAATACCCCCAAGTCCCATATAGCCCTGGAAATTAAAAGTGGCAGGGAACAACAGAATAGTGCTTCTCTTGTATGAAGTTTATAACTAGCCTCACCCACCACAGCAGACATTTTGTGCACAAGCACTCCAACATCATTAGAATCAGTTTAGAATAGATCGGTTTAGATTAGAGCCAGTTGGGTCTAGTGGTTACGGCACCAGGCTAGAAAGCAGGAGACTGTGAGCTCTAGTCCCACCTTAGGCATGAAAGCCCAATGGGTGACTTTGGGCCAGTCACTCTCTTGGCCCAACTCACTTCACAGGGTTGTTGTTGTGGGGAAAATAGGAGAAGGAAGGAGTATTAGATATGTTGCCGCCTTGAGTTATTTATAAAAACAATAAAGGTATGATAAAATCTAAAAAAAATCTAAAATCTAAACATAGCAACTATTTGGTGATGCTGCCCATGACAGTCAACATTCCAGAAATGTCCTCTAGAAGTGTCTAGCAAAGATTCTTCAGATTTTCAGTCATGGATCTTACTTGGAAATGCTAGATAGGAGCTTTTGACTCCTTAAGATCAATCTACGTAGTTCACATCATGGTTCTAAGCAAGTCACATTCTCTTAGCCTACCTACCTTGCAAGACTGTGATGAAACTAAAACAACATATCTTTGTATGTCACCTTGTGTTCTTCAATAAGGAAGAACATAAAACTAGATGACAGAAGTCAAAGGTATCTAAACAAGCTGGAATGACATTCTGCATGGCAGGGAACAAAAAAGTGAATTAGTTCATTTTTAAGCTTCTTTCCAACTCCAATTTTATAATTCTGTATAAAACACAACGGAAATAAAATAGGCAAGAGCCAAAAAGTTGAGGAGTCCCAAGTAGCTTCCATTGGATTCAGAAGGCAAAAAAGCTGTTGAGTCTGCTACCGGTCTCCCTGTGCCACGAGCTATAAGAGAAATCACATCCTGCATGTGTAAGAGGTTGTGCCATTTGGGAACAACTTGGGGGGGAGGTGCATGAGCATCCTTTTCAGCCAATGCATGAGTACAGCTTTAGTGCTTAGAGCTGCCTATGAACAATTCCCAGAATGACAATAGTTGCTAAGGTTCCCTCCCCCAAGTTAGCTCCTCCACAAACAGTTTTGCCACTTACCTTTTCAGGACAGAACTCTGAGCTGCTTTGTCGGAATTTGATTGGTCTGCCTCTGATGACCGCGTAGCAGAACATGGTGATGACCATCACAAAAAGAAAGTAACTGGTGTGCATTAAGTGCAGATTAATTAGGGAGCGGTCATCCTGAATGGAGGAAGAGACAGCATTTCCTAAGGCTGTAGAGAATCCACATGCAACTGCCTCTGGGAGGTGGAGGGACATTGCCGAGGCAGAACTATTCCAAACAGAGGCTTTTCCCCTCACCCCACACATATATTATGGCAAGATTTGGACAGTGACGTAATGGACAGAGCATGTGCACTTCTAAGGAGAACATCTCCAAATCTTGCTCATATAAGCCCAGTCACAGTTCACAGCAAAGTGGAAAAAAATCACTTACGTCTGGAACAATAACCGTCAATTTGGGATTTAATGCATGATAGACTTTGCCAATGGCTCCCTTGTAACACCAGAAAGGGTTGTAGTCTTGGGCATATTTTGTGTTGGAGTCCCTTGCAGTTGTGACGATCTTGTACCAGAAGGTTGCGTTAATGTATGTTTCCGGAATACAGTGTGGTGGCTGACTGTAGAGCAACACACAATTTTGAGCTGTGTATCCCAGTCTCCACTATCTTTTTCCACTGGGTCAACCATCCCCTCCCCACTGCTTTCCAGTTTGTAAATGTACGCTGTCTCAGAGCTTATCCACTCAAAAGCACTATTTGTTTGCTAGGCAAGACTAAGCTAATTGCTATGTCACAAGCAGACATAAAAGGGAACAGGAATACGTTGCAGGCTGCTCAATGGGATGCTCCCTCTTTTCCACACTCCTCCCTCCCCCATTCTTTCCACTCCTGCAAAATATAACTATCACTCATTTGGGGAAGTGGTGGTGAATAAACTAGAAATTCCTATTTATGACGTCTAGGAACACATTACAAACTCTTTTTAAAAATTAAAAACTGGAAAAGCTGCTTCCTTCTTGTCTCTCAAGCAGCAAACCTGAAGGCATGAAAGGCTGCAGTGAACAGCTTCCCTGGGAGAAATCAGCACTGTTAGAGCCTTACACTGTGACTGGAAAAACTGTCGTAGCTGCTGTAACTGTCATGCAAGTCGTGAAGACAACTTGGTCACAGTGGCCATGCAGAGCACAGTCATCTGAATTCCAGGCAGTAGGTAGAGTGAATGTGATGTTGATTTCCTCATGAGCTTCTCTGCCTTTTGGAGTGGAGCAAGGGGAAGAAAGGGAGAAAGCATGGAATGTCAGCAGCAGGAATTTAGTTGTTAACCATTACATCATTTAAAACCAAGAAAAAATTATGGCTGCAAACAACTTTCAATAAACTACTATATTGTGAAGTAAGTAGTTGATCAAACCCCACCTCAGCAATTGTGCAAGCCAATTATAATGATAAGATAGTGGGAGTGGATGCCTATAGGAAAAACAAGAAATTGTGTGGTGAACTATTCAATAAAAGCACTTTCTTCTCTTGTACTTTTCAGAAAGATGATTTCTAAATAAAGAACATCCATTAAGAAGGGTAGAAATGGATCTCTTCATCTGCTTTAGCTATTCCTACTTTCACTCGTAGAGCTTTGGACTCTTAACTATGACATTTGAAATAAACGGTACCTGAGAGTCCAATTTGGTGGCCAAAAATGGTAGAACATAAGCTTGTGACATTCCGGGAAAAGCCCCCAAAGGGTCTGAGGGGGTCCAGAGTCAAAGTGATGGCAACTGAAGTATTGACAGGACCGGAATCTTCAAGGGTCTGTGGTGAAGGCGTGGAAGGCCGGGCTTGGCTGCTGGTCATGGCACTCTCTGGAGTTGTGGTGTCATTTATGAGGTGCTTTAACGTTTCGTTCTCCGAAATACAGAAGTCCAAATCATTAAATCGTAGAAGGAAAGTGTTCCAGTCCTTAAACATAAACAGATCTTTAGTGCCTTATGCTAAATTACAGCCCTCACAAAGCCAGCGTGTATGTTCTTATACTAACAAATAGCAAGGTTAATTCAAGAGAGCCTGATCTCACCCAATAACAGCAATAATTTTGGTTTAAGAGATGTAACCATGGCAAGATTCTGCACTTCTGGTTAAATGAAAGTGGTTGGGGCATCTTGAAAAAGACTACAATTTGAAACAACTATCCTTTAATCATTTATGGGGAAAAATAATCTAGGAAAAAGGTATGTGGCACAATGATAAACCATGAATCAAGATACATTAACCTGTAAATATCAGAGGTATGCTTCTATTTTTACCATTTTAAATTTGAATTGCTAAACAGTTTAAGATCAGTCCTAGAATGGCACTGGCAAAACAGACGGCCTTTACTTATAAGGCAAGATTGACTGACCTTATTAAAATAATGTGCCAGCTTAAACATTTTGAGTGTTCCTGTCTCTGCCCAAGGTTGCCCATATCCATCAGACACTCAGAGTGAACCAGGAGTCCTCCTGGGTATATACAAGCCACTCATTGTTCTCCTCATCTCCTGTCCCATCCTAAACAGAACTCCCATTCAATAAACTACAGAATTTGTTCCACTCTATCTGGTCATATTCCTTTCTTGAGGGTAAGTTTTAGAAAGCCCTAAAAGACAAATAGACAGTTTCCAGCCCGAGATATTCAGATACAGACTCAATTTGTACTTTACCTCTGTCATTTCAGGGGACTTGATCTCTTTGATCTTAAAGAAATAACCCAGAGTCAGAAAGGCAATGGCCATCGCACTGACGCTGATCATAAACACCACCAGGGGTGGGCGGCTGCTGATGTAAACCCTGAGGTTCTCCAGAGGGTTTATGCTGAACATTATTCTGATCAGGCCCACCTGCAGAAGAGCAAGAGCACAAACTATAAAAAGCATCACATGTTATCTTAGGTTTCAAAGAGAAACTGTATTATCTTTAGGTTCCACGGAGATCTCGCACGTGAACACAGAAAGCCAAATTTCTCTGAATGGCTCTGATGTTTGGCCAGGACATGCCTATAGCTAGTCCTTCTAATCATTAGATACAACAGCATTCAAGTGACACAGAATTAGGCCTTTGAGATAAATATGAGAGAGATGCTTTTGAAATCTCCATTACTTTACTGTACCGTTTGTTTCTGTTACTAAAAGTGAGGAAGGAAGTTGACTCTAGCAATCTGTGCTGAGATTGCTGGCAACTAGAAAAGAGGAAGTCTCCTGCCTTGCAAGCTGTTCAGTACGACTGGCAGCAGCGAGGGTATCAGCTGAGTCCCAGTGGATACAGGCTATTTCATCTATACAGCCAGAATGGACTGGATCTTTGCTCCAGCCAAAGCCAACTGGCTGGGTTCTTGTTTACTTAAAAAGTCCCAAGGGGACCCTGCTTGCTCTCTTCAGTTGTGGAGACACCCTCTTCCCAGGGTCCAACTAACAGCATTACAGGCAGTTTGTTAGCACACACTCAGCCAAGGAACAAATGCAACTCCACACACAAGCCTCCTTTATAGGTTTGGAAATACTCAGGCTCTCTCCCAATGTCCACATTCTGGACTTCATCATGCTTTAATCAAGGCAGAAACAAGTACTGTTTTGCCATACAGCAAACTGAAGCACGTGTTTTGTTTTAGATTTAGTTCCATTGAGAAATAGGGTATTTATTATTCTGCAGCATTAAAATTCTGCCCTTCCTTCATAGAGCTCAGCAGTGTTTTTTATTTGAAAACTAACATCTACCCTGGTTAAAAGACTCTGATGAACTCAAGACCTCTCAGACAGCAAGAAAGCTAAACACGGACCTGAAATTTCATTTTCCGCTTCCAAATCTATTACTTCACAGCACTGCTTCTCCCGAAATATGACTGAAAAATGAAGGCTTTGTATTTATTTTCAAAGAGGCACAATCTCTCTGACTGCCCCCCTTCAATTTTTGCCCCAGAACTCAACAAAAGCAAGCAGAGGAGCTCAAATCTTCTTGGGCTTTATTATCAACTCAGCAGTTCATGGTGACTGATGTAAAAGAGAGGAGGATCAAGATAGACAGGAACCCCTGGTATGGAGAGAAGCTTCATTCATAAGCCAAAGGGATAAAATTGTATTTAAATGTTTAATATGCTAAAATAGTTTCTTAAGGTACTTCAACAATGTCTACATTTTTTTTTCAAAAATCAAGATTAAAAGCTGTTTTTGTAATCCATGCTTTATTTTTGCTGTCCATCTCATAATTTCAGATAACTTCCATTTGCAGCATAGATCTTTGTAACCAGCATAAACTATTCAAAAACTGCATACAGTTCAAGCTTTAAAAAGCTAAATTAACATATATCCAAAAGAAACAACAGAAAAGCTGTATTAACAAGAAAAGAAAAAGGAATACTACCCCCAAGGCAATTTTTGCTTTCAGAGCAATATCAGAGATACACCACCTTGCTCCTCAAACAGAAAAGTTAAATACATGAATTTCAAGATGCTACACCTAAGCAAGAACTGTACCAGAGAATTCTGGTTTCAGCAGAACTTTTCCCTCCTAACATTTTGGAAAGCAGTGAAGAAGCCTTAAGGCCGAAGGTGCCACATAACCCGAGACAATTTCCTGACAGTGAGAGCTACCACCTCTGGAGCAGGCTCCCTCATTGAGTGATATGCTCCCTTTCACTGGATGTCCTCAGACAGCCCAACACCTGCTGTCCAAAAGACTTTAGCAAAGTCTGCACTGAACAGGGGACTGGGCTAGATGATCTCTGATATATGTTGCAATTCCAGGATTGTATGAACTGCTCATGGGGGAAATAAGGATCAGATGATGACACAAAGTATAACATATTGTCTGTTTCAATACGTTTTTATGGCTTTCTTGTTTGGATGTAAGCCACAAAGCATGCATAAATACATTTAAAAAACCAAGACACCAAAGGAAAAGCTGAAAGGATCATATATGAGCAATTGCACACCAAGGCAGTAGCTGAGTAACTGGCCCAGTGTTAATACCAAGGCCTTCCTTTCTATATGCAATTTCCTGCTTTCTTTCTCCCCCTTTTCCCCTTCCATTCTCTTACCCATTTCAAAACCCAAGCCAGTCCATTCTTGGCATGAACTAATGTACCTTTCCAGGTGACAAGGCTACGTGGAAACTCCTCCCTCCGGGTCTGGAGTTTTCACACCTTGCAGGGTACACTTTGTGTTCTTTGGCTGCTGCTGTCAATCATTACCCAAAAACAAACAGCGGAGTGAGACTCAAGTCTTGCCAAGCAGGAAAGGTCAGTTAAAGAACCTGTCATCTGCCCCTTGGAACACATCCTGGGTGTGTGTTACGGTGACGGCTGGGTCTTTCCTTGCGGGTGGTTCTGTATTATGTCTTTAGCCTGATTTCCAGATTTCCGAAAAAATCCCAGCCTCTGCCCTCTGGAATTGCGTCCTCCAGGGAGACAGGTACAGCCTCCACTCTCCAGGTGCTTTGGGCTCTGTTTCCAGGCCTGAGGTTAGGCTGTTTTGCAGAGTCCTTGTCAACTTTTCTGAATGTTATTTAGGTGGTTTTGTCCAAGCAGCCATGTTTCTTTAAAATATGCATTTTTAAATATTGTAAGATGCCCAGCGTCTTTTTGGAGTTGGGCAGCCTCAAAATCCAAGTCAATAAGTTCACGACAGCTAACAGCAAAAAGTAAAACAGACTAAAAGCACTGGCAAGACATTAATAGTTGACTGGAAGGAAAAGAAATAGAACTCCAGTTCTAACTGTAATTCTGAGGTCATTAAACACACCTTTTCTGAAAAGAAGGTATTTATACTACTGAGAAAGACCATTAAGGAAGTAGCAAAGTAAACTGCACAGGACAAACACTCCAGAGTTCTAGCATAGTGACTAAAAAGTCCCTTTTCTCTTTCATTTCAGTCAATAAGTAAATACATTTAGGACAAAGAATCATAGAGCATAATGATTGGAAACGACGTTGCAGATCATTTTGTCCCGCTTTCTGCCCTCTTAAGAATCAGGTCTTTCTTGATGTCATATTAGGATAGCCTTATCATGCAGAAAGTGAGCCAGTTTGGAGTAGTGGTTCAGGCACCAGGCTAGAAACCAGGAGACCGTGAGTTCTAGTCCTGCCTTAGGCACAGAGCCAAGTGAGTGACCTTGAACCAATCACTCTCTCTCAGCCCTAGGAAGGAGATAATGGCAAACCACTTCCAAAAATCTTGCCAAGAAAACTGCAGGAACAAGTCCAGGTAGTTGCCAGGAGTCAACACTGACTTGAAGGGGGAAAAAATGGAGAAAACAATTGTTTGGCATGCTCTTCAATTGTCTCCTCTATGTCACTCTAGATGCCTGGTTTTGCCTAGCTATATCTTCAGCCCATATAATGCATTTCAAGCAAGCAAGTCAAAGTCTTACAGAATTAAAGCACAAATGGGAGCTGCAGAAAGCATTCTGTAGGCCAATCTGTCCTTCCCTGAGGCCAGATGAGACATTTTGTGAAAATATACATTTGGAAAGCACAATCACCAATGCTGCCGACTGTCACTCAACACTGTAGATGAGTGCTCCAAAAACTGGCTGTTTTAGCACTGCCTGCAGGTATTTTAATAGTATAAACAATAAACACCAAACTATTTCTCCAAATGTGAAATCCATACGTAAATTTGCCAAGCATCTGCCACAATATGTCACATTAAAAAAAGGTTACCAAAAATTGTAGATAAATGTGCAATATGCAAAGTGGTAAGAAAATGTTTTCTCTAAGCTAACTATTAAAGTTGCCTATAGAAGCAAAGAGACCCCATCCTTGAGGACAACCTTTTCTGAATTAATCCTGAAGTTCAAATGTTCAGGAATATTAAACTACAACATTGGAAGCCACATGAACATGGAAAAAGCTGCACAGAATCTTACTAATTTTTCCATCAGTTCTTATCCTTTGCATTCAAAGATAAATTAACTTCTCAAACATATGCAAGCAAGCAATCACTCACTGTCCAAACCAGCATCATATCTGGTGGCCAAGCAGCTAACTAGTTAAAGGAAGTTAAGTAGTGCAACATTTGAGTTTCTTGTTCTCAAAGCAATGCTCCAAGTCAGTCATCAACATCATCTGTACATATTAGGAAGATTTAGGAGAAAAGTGGCGCAATATGGTTCATGGGGTCACGAAGAGTCGGACACGACTTAACGACTAAACAACAAAAAGGAGAAAAGAGACAAAGAGATCACTACTGAACAGATGACAATGCTAAATCTTATCTCTCCCTGGATTTACCCAACAAGATGAATTTTCTTCCTCAGGAAATGCCAATGTTTGCCATTGGAGGTGGGATCTTTGCCCCCCCCCCTACACTTTGCAAAGACTCTGCAGGACCTATTAAAGCAATTTGGACAGAAGCTATATGGACTGTACTAAGTAACATCACTGGATAGAGTTAGACATTAATCAATAGGACTGCTATTATCTTTTCTCCGGGCCTCCTCATCTTTTCTTCTAGCACACTACAAGTCTAGTGACCCAATTTCTCCATTCCCAAATTATGTCTTCCCTTTAGATTCAAAATAAGACACAGAAACACTCTAGCAAATTCAGTCAGAAGGATTCATACTTAGTACACAGATTAGATGGTACTGGGGGAAATGGTCTTTGGTAACTTGGATCTTAAATCTTCTAAGGGGTTATAGACCTTAAATTGGATTCAATAATTCACAGAAAACCAGTACAGTACTATCAATACTGGTATTATGTAATCCTATTAGCAATTGGAAAGAGAGATTAATGTATCAATTACAGCTTCTAGACTGTCTTTGAGGACAGTCTCATGGAGTATGTTGCCGTAATCCAATCATAAGCCTATTAGGGCACAGATCACTGAAGCTAAGTGTCAGCCTTACTAGGTAGACCAGAAAGGAAACACGGCCAGATGAGCTAATTCTACTTTACTGTAAAGCTACATTTATAGAATCTTGCAAGTTTGAAAGTACAATTCTCTCCCCCACCTCTCTTTTGTAGCCCAAGGAGGGTCTCTTCTGAGCCTCTTGCCCCACCCACTATCCAGCTGCAGACTATGCTGTCTCTTATCTGACCGTTTCTTAGGCACCATCTCTTGGCCCAGTCTCCCAGGGTCTTTCCCACATACCATAGTATCACCCTGTCCTTCAGACTCATCCCCCACCCTCCCAGGTGAAATTGATTGTGGGCTGTGAGAACAAAATGTAGCTGTGTTGCTCCCCTCTTGGTAACTCTGATATCACAGAAGGCGTCCTGTAAATCAGCTGCACCTCCATCAGGAATCTGTCTTCCCCCTTCATGTCCTATATGGATGATGTGAAAGGAGCTGGGTCTTTTCCCATGCCCCTACTTGGTCTCTTGCTATCCCGAGGGGCCCTCCACCCCATAGAACTCCTCCTGCTCATCTTGGTCAGCACCTAACTTCTGCAAGGCCAGTAGCTGTCGAGGACAGGGTATTGGTCGTGAAAGTGGTGCACCAATTGCAGCACATGCACATCCATTTCTGCCTCCCACAACCTCTTCGACTCTGGGTAGCCTTTCCAGTGTATCAAGTATTCAACCTGCTTCCCTCTGCGTTTAGAGCCTAGCACCACTTCCACCTTGTACATTTCCACCCCGTTTACAAGCATGGAGTGGGTGGGTGCTGTCTGTAAATGCAGAGTGCAGGGAGGTGTCTCTTTCACTAGCAAAGACTGATGGAATACAGAATGAACCTTCATTGTTGCTGGCAATTGCAAACAGAATGCTACTGGATTTATTTGCTTAGTCACTGGGAAAGGGCCAATAAATTTCAAGTCTAGTTTCTTGGAAGGTCTCGCGGAATTCAGAAATTTTATAGAAAGCCACACCAAATCCCCTTCTGCAATTCTAGCTCTCTCTTCTCTGTGTGCACCTGCTGCTTTTTTGTATATGGCCTTTGCTAGTTCTAGCTTTAAGAGGCTTTGGGCTGCTTGCCTCTCGTGCAGGAAATCTGCAGCACAAGGAACAGCGCTTTCTTGCCTGGTTGCTGGTAAGACCCATGGGTGGAATCCATAAGTTCCCTGGAACAGGGACATACTGATAGAGGACTAGTGTGGCATTGTTGTAAGCAAATTCAACAAGAGGTATGAGATCTGTCCAGTTGCCTTGCTGGTATGAAATACAGGATCTTAAATATTGCTGCAACAGTTGGTTAACCTTCTGAGATTCTCCATTGGACTCCAGATGATGTGAGGAAGACAAATGAATTTAATATTTAATAAGTACAAGAGGGCCTTCCAAAATTTGGAAGTAAACTGACTTCCGCTGTCTGAGATCACATGATTGATCAATCTAAAAATGAGGTCCAAAAAGAGTTGAGCTGTTGCTAAAGGAAACAGCTCAACTCTTATTGGACCTCAACTTTAGATTCAGCAAATTCAGCACAAAAGTTACTATGGCGTGATCAGTGGGAAACTCCATCTATCTGCTTGCCTGCCATAAACATTTCATATTGAGCAGTAAATGTCCGGAACTGATCCTGGTCCTGTCAGGCCCAGCCCAAAAATGAAGCAGTGAAGTCTAATATGGCGGCTTTATTTGCTTATACCTTATAGACAGAATCTTGCCAAACTAAATCTATACTACAGCAACTAGTGGATATACTCTGTGAGATTCTAGAGAGTGACTACCCTGAATCTCTTAGTCTTCTCACGCTCCCCCTGCGGACTGTGCTGCCTCTTGTCTCCTTTCCTCTCCTGGAATGCACCCCCTTCTTCCTGATAGCCTTGATCTCCCACATCACTCTCCTCCTCGTAGATCCATTCCATCACAGGTCCCCTCTGAACTTCTGTATCAAGGTCCCATGGGAATACAGGAGTATTGGCTGAGCCGCAATTTGCTGTGCTGCAGCAGTTTGGGGCAAATTCTGCCCCAGCTGTTGTGTTAGTTATATCATGGCATTCTGCAAATTGGTCATCTATGCATCCACTTTCTGCTGGTGTTGCAACAACACTGCTGCCAGATGCTTGGCGGATAGCGGAGTTCCTTGAGGATTGGAAGCCATTCCTGAAATTCCTCCCTTTGGAAGAGAATATGAGACTTGCAAGATTGATGTCAATCTTACTAGATAGACCAGACAGGAAATACAACGAGATGAGCTAATTCTATTTTACTGTAAAGCTACATTAACAGAATCTTGCAAGTCTGACAGAACAATTCTTCCCCCTCACCATTGCCTTTACAACCCAAGAAACTAGGGAGGGTCTCTTTTGAACCACTTGCTCCACCCACTATCCAGCTGCAGGATATGCTGTCTTTTATCTGACCGTTCCCTAGGCAGCTTCTCTTGGCCCAATCTCCCAAGGTCTTTCCTGCACACCATTACACTAAGCTATCCTGGGCCAGTCAGAATTATAGCTAACATACCAGCTGCACCTAGGCATAGAAGCATGGACTGCAATGAAAGAGAAGCCCCAAGCTATATACCTGTTCCTTTACAGCAGGCTTTCCCAAACTATGAGGTGTACCTCCCTTGGGGAGGTGCAGACAGAGTCCAGGGGAGGTGTGAAGAACCTTTTAGTTACATTGTTACAATAAATTCACCTTTTCCAAAGTTTCATTGTTTTGTTTTCATTATTCATTTTGGTGTTTGGATTTTTAGAGGAGGTGTGCACATTAAGATTACAGTAAAAGGAGGTGTGATGGCAAAAAGTTTAGGAACCCCTGCTTTAGAGGAAATAGTGCCTCATCCAGAATAGATTACCTACTAAATTCTCAGGCTTAAGCATTACTTATTTATAGTCTCTATACCAAGCAATATTGGTAGGAACATGCTGCTTTCATCATCCTGGTGAAAGCAGCACCATGATGTTGTGCTTCAAACTCTGCCCCACTGCATTACAAGCTCACGTAAAAGGGCGGTATTGCTTCCATTATTCTGCTTCCATTATTCTGCCCTACTCACAGACATTGCTATCTGTATTTTATCTGGATTCAGCTTCACTTTGTCCAGTCTATGCAACTTTCAAGGATCCACAGTTTCTCTTGAAAGAAGAGGCAGAGTTTAATGATATTAACATACTGATGCCATGGTATCCAAATTTCCAGATGATCACAGTCAAAGGCTTCATATAGATATTGGACATCGACAGAACCTGTAAAGTCCCCATAACACAAGCACCATGGGTTCAAACAAATCTCCTGCTGCCCCTCTCTGATTAGCAATCCTACAGGTAGGAATGAAATGTGTGACACTGGCTGGGTTCACATAACACACTTACTCCCGGTTAACAGTCATGGACTACACAATGCAATTTTTTATGTTTGCACAACTTACTAAACTGTAAATTCATGATACAAGCAAGGGTATCATTGACCAATGGCCATAATAAAATATGTCGCTGTTGCACAAATGCTAAGCTAAAACACAGATGGTTGGCAGTTTAGGATATTATGTAAAGAAAGGCAATGAACACAAGTTCCAAAATGACCTTAGTGAAACTCATATACAGCAATGGTCACTTAACAAGAGAGCCTCGATCTCTTCAATCTTCTTGAATCCAAATTCAGAAGATACCCAATAACCAAGGTGAGTTTATGTAAACATCTCAAAATACTAGAAACATCACATCCTTTCCTCACCTTCTTGCACATGCAACCAAGCAAGAAGGAGAGAAAAAGGCTAACCCACCAAGCCTTCCTTCACTTCTAACAAACCCACTAATCATGTCTCCTTACAGATCCCTCCGGATTGCTAAGTTCACTCAGTCCCCAATACTTCTTCACATCCACCGAAGATGCACAAAAACAAGACACACCTATTTACAGCATAATTAAATGCAATCAGTTTTCCAAGACCAAGTTGGCATTACCAAACCCAAGTCTTCTGTGGCAGAAAGATTTTCATCTCAAGTCTGGCTGGCCCAATGCCCATGAAAAGAATCAGCCTGCAGCACTGCTCGAAGAAGCTTCTGAGAAGCGGGGAAGCAATTCTTCCTCCCTTCCTGATGCAAAGCTCCGGTTCAATGCCAGGCCTGGGGCTGCAAGAGAGACAGCGCGGAGGAGGATGCAGGATCAGGAAAGCTCCGGATGGGGAACAGGCAAGCTTCGCCACTCCCAAACCTCTTTCCTCCCATGGCCCATCCCTGAGCAGGTGGGGAAGGGAGGCTTCTGCACCAAAACGGACGAAGGGAAACCCCTCTCTCTGAGGTGGACGTGTCTCGCCCCACCCTCCGGGGGGCAACACGAGTGGAGCAGCCAGCCACGCTCATCTCTCTCTCCCTGCAAAGCAGCGCCATACATCTGAATCCCTTCCCCCAGAAAGAGCCCCAGTGGGCTTTCTCCCCTCCGATCACAGAGGGAGGGCGGGACGGGTCCCCCATGTTCTTTGCGGCCTGGCAGGATTTTACTCCCTCTCTCTTACCCGCGCCGAGCTCAGCGCGGAGGCTGCCGCATCCTTTATCCTTGCCCGTACGTCCGCCCTAATAGAGGAAACGCCGCGCGCCGCGAGGCCCGCGAGCAGCCCTGCCTACTGGGAAGCGAGGACGGCGGCGCCGCGGGGACAACTTCGTCCTTCCTCGCTCCTGGCAACCCAACTCGCCTCGCCCTCCCCTTCTCGGAACGGGAACGGCGTCGTGACGTCATCAGCCTCCGCGAAGTTGCGCACGTCTTCTCAAAGTTCTCCGATCCGCGTCCTGCTTCTTAGGACGCGGAGGCGGACACGGCGGGTTCGCCTAAGGCGGCGTTTCTCAACCGCAGCAGCTTTAAGATGTGTGGGCTTTATTCTAGCTCGGGAATTCTGGGAGTTTGAATCCACACATCTTACAGCTGCTGCGGTTGAGAAACGCTGCTCTAGCTGATAAAACCTTTGATCTCCTTTTGTCTCATCACGTTCTGCCCCCACCCCCACCCATGTCCTCTGTGTCAGCTAGTTATTGTCCCTTGATAGGCTTTATCGTATTATCTGCTAATGACAATTTAGCTCACAATCTCCATCTTCAGTCTAAACGTCAGATTTTCTGGAGAGAACACCTGAATTCATGTTTGAATTAGTGCATTATTTCTTCTCCTATCTTCTGCTTTTAATACTTTTTTGCCCCATGAAAAGTTTTGGAGAACTTGAAAGTTTGTTTACTTGTTCACTTGGCATTTTGGCTAATCTTTAAGATTTTGGTCAACTATGTTTTGGGCTTCTGTGATTTTGGGGAATAGGAGACAGATGGGGGAGAGCATCTTCCCTTTCTGATGCCATGCTCATCTGATTGTTGTGTACATCCCACCAAATTCCAGTCCTATCACATTGCCATCCTGCTGTGCCATTGTTTGAAACTAGAGCAGTGTTTCTCACCTCAACAACTTAAACTTGTTGAGGTTGAGAAACACTCAACCTCCAGAATTCTGGGAGCATGCTGGGTGGGGAATTCTGGGAGTTGAAGTCCACACATCTTAAAGTTGCTGAGGTTGAGAAACACTCAACCTCCAGAATTCTGGGAGCATGCTGGGTGGGGAATTCTGGGAGTTGAAGTCCACACATCTTAAAGTTGCTGAGGTTGAGAAACACTCAACCTCCAGAATTCTGGGAGCATGCTGGGTGGGGAATTCTGGGAGTTGAAGTCCACACATCTTAAAGTTGCTGAGGTTGAGAAACACTCAACCTCCAGAATTCTGGGAGCATGCTGGGTGGGGAATTCTGGGAGTTGAAGTCCACACATCTTAAAGTTGCTGAGGTTGAGAAACACCAGTCTAGGTTACAACGTGATAGGAGAGTACGTTATTCAATATTTCCCGTTGTGGGGAGATGGGCGGGGACAAGTCAAATAAAATAAATAAATAAATACGTTGTGGGAACCCAGTGTTTCCTAACATGATAGCTGCTTCACCCAACATGACAATACTGTTCATTAATTTTAGCATAGCAGATTATGTGAATCCAGCAATTGTGTTTTGTTCACCCAGGTTTAATTGGTAGTGCATTGTGTGAACCCATACAATTTACCTGTTACTACATTTTGAGGATGTCTGGATCAGCCAAGATGCAGCTTGAATAATTCATTCTATTTAAACAGTCTATACAAACTGCTGAATTGGATTATTCAGTTTGAAGATCTAGTTCAATAAAAATGCATCTGTGAGCTCTCCAACCAATTAAGTGATTAGAATGAAAGGGATAATTTGACTGTGTTTAATCTTTGAATCAAAACTTCTCACATTCTAGTAAAGTCATTGGCTAAAAGTTTTATTTTGCACTACCTGCATGAAGTACACAAAATGAGTCAGTGGGATTTAAGGATTGACTTTTTATAGATCATTCCTGCCTGCAGGTTTCAGGAATGGATTCTTTTGCCCTGAATTTTCCTCATTCTTAATACTGATGATGAATCACAGGTACTGTTCTTATTACTGTAATATTTTCAGAGGGATTAGACTTCCCTACACCAGCCCTACCTCCAAATAACCTATTGTTATTGTAAATTTCCAGACATGAGAAATAAGTCAGGCCCTCCCACCCTAGATCTCTCCCACATGTAGGCTAGTGGGAAAGCTATCTGTCTATGTTCAGATGTTCACCATCCCATATTCTAGAATGTTGCCCAACTTGGAAAAAATGAAGCATTTTATGCAACATTGTTTCAGTGTTTTGCTGTCTTATAATGGACTTTGTTTTTTAATCCTTCCAAGCCATGGAGATTTAGAACTAGTCTGTCTACTGCTTTACTAATAAAAGCCATAGGACAGACCTCTCCTCGCCTCACTTCAGCCAATGGCAGCAGACACCATGTTAGGAGAGGTCTGTCCTATAGATTTAATTAGTAAAGCAGTAGACAGACTAGTTAAGAGGGATGAAAAGACAGATCCTCTCCATTTTTGCTTCTTATTTCTCTCCAACTACATATTTAACTTATGTAATTTATTTGGGAATAATTAAATTACAGCATGTGAACATACTAGTACAGCATATGGGACACAGTGTTGGACACACACATTATACGTTGGATTTTCCTGATGTGTCACTGGTGAATGACTGAGGGAGAGATCCTTCCCTCTTTCTCTAGAATATGACAGCCATTCACCCCCCATCCTGCCCCAGAGAAACATTTTGTGGATGATACTGCTGGGACCTGCCTGGGTCACACGATACACCGGCTCTGTGTCCTCATGAAACTGCAGAAGAGGCAATGGTGGATAGAAATTAAAAAAAACAAAAAAGACTGCCACCTGTCTGCTAGCTAAGTTTACTGCTGTTATAACTTCTTTGCTATAGGAAAGCAAAGCAGGGTTATGCAAAATGCAGAAAAAGAGTGAGAACTGAGAAAATTCAATGAATTAAATATAGCTATAGTTTAATGCAGCGTTGTCCAAACTTGGCCACTTTAAGATGAGTGGACTTCATGGCTGGCTGGGGAATTCTGGGAGTTGAAGTCCACTCATCTTAAAGTGGCCAAGTTTGGACAACACTGGTTTAATGCCATTCACCATACCTCTTCATACCCTTCTATCCTTGGAAATCATCCTTGTTTCTACCACATCTGTACGCTGCCTTTTGTTCCTTAAACTTCTCATGTCTGTTCTTTGTGGATTCCATCAACTCCATCCAGCCATGACATTCTTGGTCTTCCCCTTCCTCTTGACCCATTCTTTCTTTCTTCATATATTTGTTTCGTGATTCAATTCTCATTCATTTTCTCTATGTGACTAAACTATCTCAACATTCTTTCATACGGATCATTTCAGTGCAGATCTTCCTGAGCCCAGAGAACCTCAAGGAAAATATGTAAGAGTCTGGGCTAGCATTATTCCAAGAGATCACTAATTACTCATATTCATTCAACATCCATTCATTCTTGACCTTCTATCTTTGTTTACCACACGTGCTTCTTAAATAACCTATTCTGAATGCATTTAATTTATATGTGTTTCTCCTGATATCCAATTCTGGCTTGCATATAATAAAGTGGGCAAAAGCAAACTCTTATACAGTTATTTTTTGCTTATTTAAAAAATAATAATTCCTCACAACAGCTACCTAATTATTTCTTGTTCATTTACTTGCTCTAATTTTTTTGCCATTCATATATAACTTGCCATTCAATTTTTCTGTCAAACAACCATCGTGGCCTTCAATACATTAATTTTCAGATCCATATTCCTTGCTACATCTAACATTTGCAGCAAATTTGCTATTTTCAATTTTTATTATAGTTCATTTATGTTGTCATTTTATATTATTATAAATTATCTTTTATGATTTTTTAATGTCTGAATGTTAGCTGCTCAGTCTCCAGAGCAGGGTGGAATACAACTGTCAGTTGCTATTATTATTATATGATAGCCAAATGATATTTTAATTATTAGGTTTTACAAGATGCCCAATTCTGTAAGCCTCTGGGCAGTGTACAATATTACAATATTAAAAAAGCAACAGCAAAACAATAAGAAACACAAACCATGTACATCTGGAAAAGGCAATCCCACAAATAAATGAAATCCTATAGGGCAGTGTTTCTTTAACCTTGGCAACTTTAAGATGTGTGGATTTCAATTCCCAGAATTCCCCAGCCAGCATGCTGGCTGGGGAATTGTCAGAACCTCACCATCAATTAACCAGCTAGCTTGCTCAGTTCTGCCATGATAGTAGTGGGGGGTGGGGGGTTAGGTAAATGGCTGTTGGAGCAGATGGCTCGTTATCTAGTTCTCAAGAATACCAAGGTCGTACCAGCGGCAAAGCAGGAGAAGGCACCAGAAGGACCGAGGGGAGGAAGGGGAGCAAGGAAGAGGGGTTAAGAAAATGTCGCTCTATGCGGGCTTTTCAGTTTCAGTAATCTCTGCATTGGACTGTATGTTAATCCTCAATAAACTGATTTTCTTTTGGACGTACTGAGTCTCCAGAGGTTTCTTTTTATTGGGTAGAAAGCTGCAGTGCCTGACATTTTGCTGAAGTTTCTCAAACCTTTGAGTTTCCACCGAGGGGTTCACCTATCATGGAAAACCTGAATCCTGTGCTAGCGAGTGCTGTCCGGGATGGAGGAGGAGATCGCTGAATGCGGAGCAGACAGCGGCATGGAGGAAGAGTTAGAGGGGTTCCCCAGACCCATGGCTCGCTTAACCTTGAGATCCGACAGGGAGTGGCGAAAGGTGCAGGCATGGAGGATGCCCGAGGAATACAGGGAAGCATCCTTTCTCAGCATAGAACCCGAGGAGTGTTGGTCCCTGGCAGCGGGTCGAGTGGAATCCACATAGATGACCACTCTGGAGGGGTCCATGAGCATGGTACAGGCAGATATTGCTACCATGAGAGGAGAATTGAGATGGATAGGGGAGCTGGTTCAAGGATCGCTGGGAGCTTGATATCCGGACCTGGCGATGGCCGGCATGCTAGGGGAAGAACAAATGATGGAGGAAGCCGGAGAAGGGGTTCTACACATCCCAGCAGGACCACCACCCGAGCCAGCTCCACCTGCTCGCAAGCACCGCCAGCACCCGCAGTGCAGCCAGCTCAGCCCCAACCAGCGCAGCTGGCTGCGAATCGAGCAGAGGTGCTGAAGGAATGGGGCCTGATGATGAACTACAGGGGGGACCCAAAGGAGCTGGCCAGTT